AAAAGAGAAAGAGAGCGCGAGGGAAGATGGGACTACCTAGCGGAAATAAACGCTGCCGCGATAAAAGTCAAGAAGCTGCTCCAGGCACAGAGGCCAGTGGCACGCTCGGCACTCAACACGTTACGCGCAGCGAGAAGCTTCGTCGAGCTCTTAACGCGCTCGCACAAAGGTTTTGCGCCCTCGAAAACAGATCAAAGCTCCGGCTTGTCTCCCCCGCGACCGCGCCCATAGCAAACAAGCCGCTCTTGGTGTGCGTGGCCTCTTCAAATAATATCAGCGTGTACAACGGCTGCGCCCGAAAAACCGAACGACGGCCCTTTTGACAACTGCTCTTCGCCGCGGATGCTCATCCTTGGCCCCGTGACGCGCGCGCTGATAAGTCGATCGGCTCGTTCAAACGCAATTTTTTTTTCTTTTCAGAGCCAACTGTTCGAGTCGCGCTCTTGTCGACGAGCCTGCCTAGTTCCGCGCGAACAGTGGACTGGATTTCAAAAAGCTACAATCTCCCCGAGAAATCTTGCGCGACTTACTTTCTTCTCGGGTTACGCTTTACTACAACTCGGGACGCGGAATCTCACTTTGCGGTATAATTTATAAAGACGACCATTGCGCAGATATTTGAAATTTGAATTCGACTCCACAGCAGCGCACAAGCCATGGCGGCCGAATAATTGACATCACCGGAAGAGCAGTCTCTCAACGCGCCACCCCTTCATCGCCTTTAACAATAAAAGTCGTCTCTCGCTCTGAGGCAATAAATTCATCAAGAGCCCAATCAATAAACAAATAGAAAGCCGCGTTTAAAGCTCCGAGCAAACGCACGAATGGGAAAAAAAGGAAACCGATGGTTGCGCGGACGGACATAACAAAACAATTATAACTCTCGCTCGGTCGAACAAAGAAAAAAAAAGAAAAGAAAGGCATACTGTAACACGGTGCCTTATCTGCGCGTTGAGTCTGCCGGCGTCCGTTATCGCCCGTCGATGATTTACAGCGAAAAAAGAGAACGGCGCCGCCTCAGAACCCTGCGGCACTTTTGATCGCTTATCGATGCGCGCGCGCAAACACACACGCACACCCGTCGTAAAGAAAAAAAAAAAATTTTTTATTTTTCTCTCGCGTTCATAGGTATGCACGACTTCTCTCTTTTGACGCAGGCGAGCCCACAATGAACGCGTCTCCGCCGCCGCTCCGCGAGCAGATGGATTGAAAATCGGCTTTTCACAATCGAAAAGTGCACACAATGGCATGAATTTCGCTCGCTCGCGGAAGTTTCTCACGAGCCGACATAACGTATGTGTGTGTACAAATTGCAGCTTTCTCGACTACATACATATAATCCGTTGCATCACGAGAGGAGAAAGAGCTTCTGTTGGAAAATATCGCGTCGACGTCGCCGCGCGGCTTGCACCTCTTACGAAACACCCTTATTCGAGGCTTTTACATATACTTTTTTTTATTTCTGTATATCCCTGACGAGCGCGGAATTCCAGACCCGCCGTTTTATTTCGTTTCGGCGACAGACTTGAATCGTGCGAACGGATATTGGGATCGAGGGAGACAGAGAGAGTCTCGTAACAGTTGAACATCGTTGTTGAATCATTCCGATAAAAAATATACTCTCGTAGCTATATATCGGGTTCAAAAGCCAAAACAATACAACTGGCACGATAATCTTTCGCCGGTTCCGGGCAATCACGTCCGGTCCGATCTCTCGGTCAATTATTTTAATTAGGTGGAAGAGAGAGAGAGAGAGAGAGAGAGAGAGAGAGAGAGAGAGAGAGAGAGAGAGAGAGAGAGAGACGATCCTCATTGAAGAGAGCAGGCAAGTCGGCAAGAGTAAAACATTGACGTACACATTGATTTACGACCTCGTAATCGCTCCTTCTCTCGTATTCAACTTCCGATCGAGGTCACGCATACGCGCGCACATGCACAGACGACACGTTTCCGCGTGCTCGAATAACGAACAATACTGCAGTCTGCGCGACCATGACGAGCCCCTATCGCCTAAATTGGACCTTGCCGTCAGTCCCTTATTCAAGTGTCCGATTGTAAGACTGACGTCGCGCTCGGTTTACTTCGCGCGCGGAAGGTCGGCGAAGAGCGCGCGCGGCGCGGATTTGGTTCGCTTCGGCGAACGCACCGCGAAGCGACTCCGTGAATCGAAGATTCGATTCAATTGAAAATCGCTAATCGATCGAACCATCCTCTTCGAAAGACACAGTACGGCCGTCGAAACTTCCTTGCGCGAAAAGCAATCGACCCCCCATGCCGGGAACTGGCTATTAAAAACAATGATTTACCACGCCCAATTCAAACTCCCACGCTAGTGTGATCCAGATAAAAAACAAGAGAAAATCCATCACGTTAGACGCATTAATTACCTTCCACAACAATGCCAAAAAAAAAGAAACAAAAAAGAAAGAAACAGGAGTCACGCCAACGCCGCACGCAAAACGCAGTCCACTAATTTTTCCTTAGAAGCGTGTAACTCGTCTCTCACCTGCTCGTCTCTTTCCCTTTAATTTTTTTTTTAACCGCCGCGCCGTCTATGCTGGATTTACATATAAAACGCATACACGGCTTTTACGAGCGCGGGCCGTTTTCACCGCTGGCATAAATCACAAATTGATATCAGAAAAAGGAGGGCGCACACGTGCGCAACCACGGGGGAGGCACGTATAAAGCCTTCCTGCCCCCCGCCCCCTCTCTAATTGATTGCTAATGTCTTTTTACATTTCATACCCAGGGATACGCTCAATGTTTGAACTTAATGAGTGCTATTACAATCTCGGCATTCCGTAAGTGCGTCGATTTGCGTATATGAATTCACAGCGGCGAATCAGGGAATCTCAAGTACTTACAGCAATCATACCGGCTAATTAACTATTTACAATTAGTCGTAAATATCTCTCGCAGGCAAGGTTGAATTCTAAATAGCTCTATGCGATCGCAGTACAAGAGCCGCCGTTGATCTTTATCCGACCTCTTTCTTTTTACACTCTTATCTAAATCACTATAATAAACATCATATCGCCTCGTATTTATAATTGGTCTGCAGACACATTCACGAAATTAAGAGAACAGCAGTTTTCCGTAATAAAAAAGAAGCACAATACTTCTTGTTCTCCTACTATTGGCCAGGCAGCCAAGCCGAGCGTTAATAAATAATCCTTAGATCAAAGCGTGCAGCTCGCGTTTGACGGACAAATCGCCTTCTGTCACGAGCCTTCGCTGTATTGCAGTAAATACCCAGGAAATAAAAACGGTATTCTACGTACTTGCGCTGCCCATACGATCAGACTTTTCCACTCATTGAATATTATGTAAATAGGAAAGCAATGAAAACGGAAACTGTCCAATAAAAAATCTTATCGTCCGGTTTTTAAACATGAAAGATGATAAAACCAAACTTCCTGTCCCGCATCTACATGAGTCGCGCGTACGCTGCGATCAGTATAGGGCTCACGCAACATTTTTCGTGCGATCAAGATCTCAGCTCTGTCTCTCTCTCTCTCTCTCTCTCTCTCTCTCTCTCTCTCTCTCTCTCTCTCTCACACGAGAACATATTATAGCGAACGAGCGGACAGCAACAAAAGAGAGCGAGAGAGAGAGAGAGGGAAGGGCCAGATGCATTTACACGCGAGCAAGATGTAAAGCACCGATAGGGGCGAGATGCTTGCTGTTGTACAAAGTTGTCATGCCCTGTCCTTGCCGCCGCGCTCCTTGGATCTTACGTGTTTTTTTTTTCTCCCCGTGGACGCAATATTTTTTTTCTACGCCAACTGCGCCCAAAGAGAGCGATCGTCAACGGCGATTTATCAATGGCTCTTGACGGTCGTTTCCACGGCGCGCATCCCCTCCTAAAATATGACGAGTCAGCGCTAGAGCAGCACCACAATCGGAAAGTACATTTTAATTTCCGTCGCCGCCGCACTCTCGAAAATTATAATCGATCAATCTTCATCGTCGGCTCCATTACGAACTCCGCAGTTAACGCTTCGTCCACGGATGGCGATAAAAACGGAGCACGCATCTCTTTTCTAGCCAAGGCAATCCGAGAGACATTATACTGTCAAGCGCGCGCGAGCGCGGCCAATTTCAGCGAGCGTATCAGGCAAAACGAATCAAATGAAATCGAATAAAAAGCAACATCTCCTTACTCATTCGTATAGACCCCCCCTCCCTCTTTTTGCTCGCGCTTCTTTGCTTGCTGGAGATCAAAGCCTGGAGATCGCGATCTCGAGCGCGCGAGTGCCGAAGGACGGCAGAAAAGAGAGAAAGAACCGTCTAGCACGGTCAAAGCCAATAGAGGTAGCTTATACGTGCGCGTTTTATGCACAGCGCGCAATAGCGCAAACACAGCAGAAAGAAAGAACACCTTGTCCCTCCTTTATACGCCGGTAGGTGGGTTTCTCCCTTTAATCGTCGAAGATCAGATGGTGCGCCTATCGATTGAGAGAGCACTCGGCGGATGTCGAAATCTTTGATAACCGGGTTACCGTTTTCGAATAACTCGAAAGCGCGCCCGCGTACAGGGAGAGAGACAGATCGGTATAAATTTCGATTATCCGCGCGTGCTCAAAAGAAGAAAAAAAAAAAAAACACGAAGACGCGAGGACAGGTAGAGACCTGTTGTGCGTTGAGCTTACCTATTGTTCTCTTACACCGTGTCGATTCCGATAATCCGCTTTCCTATGCACGCATCGATCATTTTAAATGTGTCTGCTTTCGAGTACAGATATTATACACGTATGTAACCTTGATTTTTTTCAAATCACGATAGACAGTAGTTGCACGCTGAAAAATAAAATTCGAGCACACCGGCACCACGAGCGAGCGGTTCTTCTTCGAAAGGAGATTCCCCGCAGTCACTGGCCAATGGCGAGAGGCATTACAATACAAAGAAGGCCGAGCGAGGAAGAACGTAACGAGTCGTCGCTGCCGTGTGGCGAAAAGAACAGAAATGAAAGGAGAGAAAGGGAGAAGTTGCTTACCCCACGTTCAGCCTGCAGCTGATCCTCGTGGCCCATGAAGTTCGGCATGGCAGTGAGGTTGTACCTGAGACCACGACAAAACGACACGTTTAGGTGCTCACACTTGGCGTTGGAGCCTTGGTGGCTTCGACCGCTGCTCCACGATCGCGTGTCGGTGATTAGCCCCAAGATTAGCAAGAGCTTGACAATCAGTAGCAACATCGCTGACATCTTTTCAACACACTTGCTTAATTGATGATAGGCGATGAAGTCTACTGCTGTGTGCTAGCTGGCAACGAGTTGATCATTGCTGATGTTTGCGCGCTTGTTGTTGGAAAGTCTTTGCAAGTGGAAAGTGTCACTTTCAGCGGAACTGCAGCTTAGCTTTTTGCACTCGCTACTTTGACGTGTATTCTGTGTATTCTTTCTTAGCGATTGCAGAATGTATAACAAAGCGATCCTTAAAGGTCAGTCGTTATAAAAAAAACATCACTCCATCGAGAGACCGATCTCTAATCAATATAACGCTCCAAATTCAAATTGCGAGATGGGAAATTTCGGCTCACTATTGGTACCTGAACAATCTTTTACGAACAACTAAACACTGTGCTGGCAAGCAACGGGGAGCAACAATCTCGATAGGAAAACAAATGCGCGTGCTGAAGGCGCGCAGGCGAAAGCTGCGGCCGCTCACCTCGGCAGTCAGGAAGGTACTGAGCTAATGCCTCGTTCGCGCCACGCTGATGTTCACGTCGGCTCTCTCTCTCCTCTCTCTCCTCTCTTCGCCTCTTTCTCTTTCTCATTCGCCGCCGCCGCCGCCGCCGCGCGAATAGCATTTTTGATGCGCGCCGCCTTCGGGGAGAAAGGAAAGAAGAGCGAGCGCAGGCAATGATGATGATGATGATGATGATGATGATGATGATGATGACGAAAATGATGAAGGAGTAGAGGTGGAAAATGTGGTGTGCGTTGTTTATGCGATTTTGATTTGGATTTAGGTGCTTTATTATAGTACTGCCGGATTATTTTTCTTCATAAAAAAAGTACTCGACGCTATTACTTGTACGACTGGCTGTTTGTGGCGTAAGCGTCGATTCTTTTATTTTCGGATGATTATGGTTGAGTGATTTCTTTATGGGAATTTTATTGATGGTACACGTTTGGTTTGCATTAACGGTAATTATTCTATTAAAATAATCGACTGTCGTAAGAAAGTCTCTAACGTTTGCGGCATTGTGGAACGGAACATCGAGACGTCATTATTATTTGCATTATGAATTCAGCAATAATCGTTAAAAATTACAACGACCGCGAACCATCCGGCAGTTCTGCAACAAATTATTCAGATAAATGAAAGAAAAAAAAACGTGCGAAAACCAGGAACGGAGCAAACCTACGACCCATCAATGCTGCGAATTACAATGTAACAGACAGCGATCAGCGCAGTAATGAAATAGACGTTTCCCAGACGAACATCGAAAATTGCGCACGAGCGTTATGCAAAAACAAGTAAGGACCCGCGAGCGAAAGAAGAAGGAAAGGATCAAAAGTAAAAACTCGACGGTCGCTACAGGGGGGAGGGGAGGTTGGTCTATTATATTTGCCGGCCTAGAACACGGCCAAAAACAATGAGCGGGGCGATTCGTGCCCCTAGGCGAGCAGGTAGAAGAGGTCCTCGTTTTTTATTGGTCCCTCCGCCTCTTCCTCGTTTTCGCTCCGCGCGCCTATTATTCCCGAAAAGAGAATGCGAGGCGGAATTTCGGGCGGCGCGGGGGCCCCTTCGCGCTTGCTCAATAATTGGGGGGGGGGGGGGGGGGGGGGGGGGATGTAAATTGCACTCGCTCGGGCTCGCGATCTTGATTGCGTCATTGCGTGACGCGCGTCGATCAGCGCGCCAACTGTGCCGCGCGAGACCGTTAACGTGCACGCGTACGTTCTCGCTGCGCTCGATTATCAGCGCCGATAAGAGATTCTCCTCTCGCCTCTTTCGGGCGATCGATGCTGCGGCGGATAAGGTAATGGTACGCGTCTTTTGCACGAAGCAGCCTGTCGTTTCGCTGTAAAGTCGACGCACGGTAGTATATTGCGTGGCGAGAAATCACCTTCAATTGATATAAATACATGAATTATTGAGAATCGAAAGAGTCACTTGGCTTGATTGCGTCTCAAGGAGGATACCTAGCAGCCCGAAGCGCAGAATAATTCATGGTCGATTGGTCGGGTAATCCACAATCATCTTTACGGCTCCGTGCGAGTAATCTCGGAAGTTTGAATAACCAACAATCGCATCGCTGCTGTATACATGAGAAAACGGTATGCACGCTTACGTATTTGCCAAGAAAGGCCAAACTCGCGCGCGCTAGCGACTTCAATTGCCTTTCAAATTTTTATCGAACAACCGCGCAGCCTGAAACGAATATAGTCGCGAATGCAATGAAATTCTCTCGATATATCCCATTCGGCTTTCTACGACTCGTTAAGAGATCTAAACACGTGCAGTAATTTTCCATATAGGCGAATAATGGTAGTCAGCTGCGGGGCGTCGATTTCGCAACGCCGCTACTATGGTCTTACGGGAGAGAGAAGAAAAAAAAATAAAGGAATCTTCAAGTGACATCGCGAAATTACAATGCGACGGCTCGGTATGTAGGACGTTAATCTCGCTTGTAGGTATCGCGCTGTAAGCATTTGTACGCCGGGATGTCACTGGAATGGCGGCGGGCTTGCGCGAAATAGGAAACGCCAAATGCTTCTTACGCGTTGAGGGGCAAAGCCCAATTCACTAATTTCACTCAATGCTCTTAGCTGCGCGAAGCGGATAGAACGATTCTATATGCGCGATATGACGATGTCGGAGTATATTTCACTATTGCTTATCAAACATGTAGCTACATTGTTCGACGCAAGTTGCTGCACGCTCGGCTCGATCCCTTCTGTGCCAAACGAACGGTTGGTGTAAGCGTACTGCCAAAGTTGACTGGCAGATCCGCCCGTATACGTTTCTCTGAGCAAATAAGCCGCCAAATGTGCGCGCCCGGCGACCTCGAGAGGGGGGCTGGAAAATAAGTGACGTGCGTGTATGTGTGTGTGTGTATATATACATATGTCATGCATGCGGTAGCCGTAACAATTCGTGAAATTTCGTCTCATTACCCGTCTGGCGTGTACGCGCGCGTGTCTTGCGAGATCGAGTTGCCCATGTACTAGCCGCGTACTTCTCTCTTTTTCCGTGCGAGCCTCTTTTGTATATATAATTTCATTATAAGAGAGAGAGAGAGAGAGAGAGAGAGAGAGAAGGTCACAATAGCCGCTCAAGCTACGTGTATTTGTGTAGCTCTTGGCCTCGGTGAATGAATAATACAATGCGAGAAAGGGAGGAGGGAGGGGAGCATAAGTGGGCTCTAATAAATTCCATTTCCATGCGGCTTTTTGTCGAATGTATGCGTTTTTCTGGTAAGCCACTCGATTTTGCCTCTGGCTTCTTTCTGAAGCGAAGAGGATCGAAGGTCTCTCTCTCTTTGTACGCACGTTGGTGATACAGCAGCAGTTATAGCGCATCGAAATAAATTTAGCTTGACGGCCCATCCGTCTCCTATATAATACGTATCCCGGACATTTTGCAGCTTATCTTTGGTCCCGCTTTAGTGGAGCATGCATACGATTACGTATCGATGGATTATTGAATATCATATGAGCTACTGAAATGCTTGGCATAAAGTATGATGTGATGTGCCAGGTTAGCACACGCTCACACTTGTTTTTCGTCTTATTAGTGTGGAAAAGTAGAGTGTAAAGTGTATTCAAGCGAATGTATCTACGGTTTATCAGCATGTGTTATGGGCTTAAGCTGGACTTCGGGAAAAGCCAAAAATTATAGGAAAACCGTGAGACTGAGTGTTAATCGTTAAGAGTAAGATATGAGGCCTTTAGCAACAAAAGCAAAAGACTTCAGTGTTTAGAGAGCCTCTGCATCGTGCATGTTGGGATGAACGTAAGATGAGTTTTTGTTGATTAGATTTGTGAATAATCAACATCGAGCGCTTATTAAATGCAAATATAATTACTTAAAATCATTCACTCTCTATGACTATTCTTCTTACCTCACATACGAATGGTGCCTTAACCACAAAAAAATGAGAGATTATACTGACAAGCTCATGTGCCTTTAATAAGAATATGCTATTGTGCGGTCGCAAATGTTGCAGAAGAACGGTTATTACGTTATTGTACTTTGCGCGAAATGCAGTTTTTAGTTTTATGTTTACCGCAACAAGAATAAGACACTATAGTAAAGTGGGTGGACCTAAGATATATTGGTCCACTGTATCTATACTCCTATACCTTTTAATTAAGAGTGGACCATTAGGTTGTCAAGCTATCGCACTTAACAAAACAACTAAATTTTTCTTTTTCATTTGTACAAAGAAAATGTGGAACTAAGTGTGAAAAAATATATGTCCAGCAATATTGATTCGAAAGTATAGCATTAAATGCGATTTTAGTTATTGCAAGCTAATTGACTAAACACTTCCTATAGATGAGAATTCGAAATATATTTATTGAAATATTCAACTTGAATACATATATTAAAACAAATATTACAGTATTACTTATAATTTTAAAAGCAAAAATCAATATTATCCTTTTTAAAAAATATATGATTACTATCCGAATACTATTGACATTCGGTGAATTATATAACGAGAGCAGAATATACGGCGGAGAGATCGACATTGGAAAGTTTCAATTTCTCATAGTTTTTAAGGCTTTTTATACATTTTAATTTCCACGTAAACCAAGTACTGCTAGCACGCTGTTCTCATATCTATAAAACAAATCTCTAATAACTTGACTAACGTTTGCTGACAGGTCAATCAACATGAGCTACGTGTTTCAATTCGATATAAACTAGCTGGTGCTATAGTGGTGTATTTCATGACAAGCGTTTTTCTTTTGTTCAATTATTCTGTTTTATTTCTTTCGTATTACTTGACAACATATTTCAAAAAGGTTTGAGGAATATGTTACATTGAACACAAAAATCATTACATACTAAATATTACCCATCAAGTGAATATAAGCTTTTTTTTAATTAAAAAAAGTCTGTCGAGCTGTCGAAAAATAATGTAGAATTCTGATCTAAGCACGAATTTGTATGACAAGTGACTTCTACATTAAACACAGTCATGTTAGCAACACTCTTTTAATAATAAATATGCAAATAAATATTTAAATGTTATATCGAACATATATCGAATATAGGTATTTACTTTGCATAGGAAAACATACCATAGGACAAAATGTACCTAAGTGTAATATATAACATGACCATATCCATATAATTAAGTTGTGCGATTTCCAACTATATTTAAATAACACTTGACATGTTTTTCGAAACAACGATCGAAAAGCTATTAACTTTTAATGAAATTCAATCGATTCGCGTATAAAGCAATTAGGTGAAACGAATTATTTTATGTACAACGGCTTAACAATGTACGAGATTAAAAAAATTGTTGTTTTTTTTAATATAGTCCATTGACTTATCTGCGTAAATATAAACAAATCAATGCAGAAGAAAAGAGCGAGTATCGGTGAATTACGCGGAAAATCAAGGATCACGCACGACAATCAAAAAGCCAAGAGGAGAGGTCGACATCTCATTCCCGTAGGCCGAAC